AAGCAAGTTATTTAAAAAAAATAATAGTAATTAGTAATATTAGTGACAGCAAATGTGACAAATCAGAAAAAAAAGATTTATAAATCACAAAAGACGGCATGGTACATATAAAAGGAAAAGTTATAGAAAGACTAAGCAAACGAGGAACAGATTTAGATTACTTTAGTGGCAGTGATGAAGGTAAACAAAGGAAAGTGGGGGGAAAAAAAAATGGGACCAAATATACCATTGGAAAAGTAACAGCCAGTAAGAGGTGGATGGAAACAGACCAGCACCAGTCGGGTAAAGGACTCGAATCATTAAGGAGGGAAAAGCAGTAAGACTGATAGGGTGTAAGAGACACAAAAAAGGAAAAAAGAATTGTGACAGACTTGAAGTTTCACTTGACTAAATGGGTGGACAGGGAAACACAACAATGAGAAGACAGCATGAGGAGCTGGTCTGAGGGAGAATGAATTTTACTTTAAACATGTTGAGGATCAGGCACCTGAGATAAGGCCACTGAGAATCAAGAGGAAGGACAAATTCAGCATTCTAGAGTCTAGGTTTTGGACTTCTTAAGCTGTGAGTTGTGACCCTCTGTGTTGCGTAACTAAATGTGGGAGTCCTGAAAAAAATAAAATCTTTGCTTTAAAATAAATTTCTATGTGGGAACCAGGACTTTTACTCCAAACCACCGCACAACATCTCCCTATATGCAAGGTGATCAATGGAAAGTAAATCATCCAACGTTTCTCCCTGAAAACCAGGCTTAACTCTTATACAGGCCACAGCACCCAATGGGAGAGAGAGAACCAAAGGGAATGCCCTGCCACAGAGGCAGGGTGGGATGGGGGGTGGGGGGAGAGATACTGGGATCTGAGGTGGTGGGAAATGGTCACTGGTGGAGGGATGGGTAGTCAAAATAAATAATAAAAAAAATAAAGTGTAGCTGCAAGGTCAAATAAATAAATAAAATTTCTTTTTCATTACCAGCAAACATTTGGTTTTTCTACCTGTTTTATATACATGGGGTCATAATACAGGGTTTTTTCCCATGCAAAAAGAGGTCAGTGGTCAAACTTTTTTTTTCTTAAAAAGTTTAAGAAGCCTTGTTTTATAGTTTTTATATAGTTATATATGGGACCATAGTAGGGGTAAGGATTGTCTAACTTGTGGGCTGACTTGTGGCCCATAAGAGGCTGGAGAAATAATACGGTGGAAAAGCACTTTCCTTGCCCACAGCTGACCCGGGTTTGATCCCCAACACCGCATATTGTTTCCTGAGTACCACCAGGAGTATGCCCTGAGCACTGCCAGGTATGGCCCCCAAACAAAACAGGCACATGAAGTTATGGGTTGGTACTGGTACATGACTAGAAGACATGTAAACTTCTCATCAGCTGCCCATCTATCTGCACTGTATGGCTGGGAATAATGTTATAAATATCCAGACGTCCTTGGCATTTGGCAAATGGCAGGGATTAAAAAAAAAAAAGGTTTCCCACCCCATTCTAGAGAAAGGTCAGAGTTATAAAAGTGTGAGGTAGGGAGCAGATGGGATTGATTACTTGAGACCTTCATTCACAATGAGAAAATGTCAGGGAAGAACAATAGGGACAAGAACAACTGAGGCTTGGGAAAAGGAGAAGCCTACAAAGGAGTTAAGGAGCACCAGCTGGGAGAGACAGAAGACTCGGGAGTGGAGTCTTGGCTTGACAGAGGGGTCTATTTCAGGAGTAAAGAGGTCATTTATGCAACAGAGATCCAGAAGAATGGAGGTTGACAATTGAATGGGCGTAATTACTTAGCGTAGTTCAGTGGAATGGCAGGCATGGAAGCTAAATGAAGCATCACTGTCACAGAATTAAATTCATGCTTGTTAATATTCTCTAGCAGCCAGTGAAAAACCAATGCAGATCCCTGAACTCACATATATGATCCATTCCAAATGAACAGTTTTCATACCGCAGATTTTCATGTTTAAACTGTTACCTCTTGAACCAGATAACACAGTGGTTAAGGCACTTCCATTTGATCTGGTTGGATCCCCAACACAGCTTATGGTTCCCCAAAGCACCACCAGGCGTGACTCCTGAGTACAGAGCCAGGATTAACCCCTGAGACCCCCCCCTCCACACCCCCTCAGATACCTCCCACCTCAGGCCTCTGTCAGTGATTCTGGATGAAGCCATTCAGCTAGCATTGTAATTCTCAATCAAGATTCCTGTTTCTGATAACCAGAATAACAGGAAGAATAAATGCCCTTCAGCCTGGCTGATCATTCCAGAATGGCTTCTTTGAACTCCAGGACACGATGTGGTGACAGTGGCTCTTTCACTTACCGTTGTCCCAGTGGCCCTCACCAAGGCCACAACTGGGTCAGGTTTCCATAATTACAATGAGAGGGAGAACAAACTGTTCATCTCAGCTTACAGCCCTCTTTATCCACAGAAATTAATTCTATTTCTGAAAACTAAGGGGTATATTATCGTGGCTGACCAGAGCTAACCAGAATCAGGAGCAGAGGCACATGTGCCCCTGGTCAGAGTGATGCCCTCTACTTCTCTTAGGCTCTCTTTAAATACTAACGTAAGTGGTTACCTGAGAAAGAAACCTTAGGGTCCGTATTAAGTCCAGGGCAAAGGAAAAACAAGTCTCACCACTAAATCAAGCACATTTTATTCAGGAAAACAGAGAGTTTAATGCCATGGAAACAGCAGCAGCCTGTGACATCAAAGCAGAAGGCAAAGGGACAAAGGGATCTGTTGAAGTTACCTTTCCCTGGGTTTTCTCTTCCTTAACATTTGACCCTTATTGAAAAGTGCTAGACAGTTCTTACTGTCTCAGAATAGAGCAACTGAAACTTCTCCTGGTTCTTTCCAGTTTCTTCCTGAAGATTAGCCAAAAACCACATGCCAGACATCTGCATCATGCCACACTCTTATTAATATGCAATAAGATTCTATTCCAGACAGTTGGTGATATCAGAGTCCCAAGTCAGCTACGGGGTAGGGATTAAATTATAGAACGCAAATATTTGAAGAAATTTTAAAAACTGAAGCTTCACTGTCACTCTAGGCTGAGAGTTTTACAGAGCTAGTGTTTAAGGAGAATAGCTTCCCCAGGTGGAGTGGAAAAATACTGTAATCTGTGACGGGAAAGGAGGTCTACAAAGCATGAGTAAGAGAAGATACTACAAATCTGCCCCTCCCCCTCAGCAGCCTCCGCTGAATATTATGACTCTCCTATGTGAGGCTAAAACCAATTCTTATTTCAAGTCTGAATCAAGCAATCAGCAGCAATGCAAGTGATGGCACAGTTCATCAGATGGACTATGAAGGTTTATTCAATGTTTAAAAAATGTGATTACCAGAAATTGTTGCCTTGCGTATAAAATGGTGCTTTTAAAAATGGCGAAATACATGAGCTGAGAATAGCGCACGTGGTAGAGAACATGCCTAGGATGTGCAGGGCTTTTGCCTTGATCCCCTGTCCAGTCCCCGCCCTCCACTCCCCACCCTCACCTCCAGTTGCAGCAGAGCCCTGGGTATGGCCCCTAATAAAGGTCAAATGTACGGTTGCTTTAAAGGTACAGTATCTTCACTTATAAACAGGAATTAAAAAACTCTTCCCTTTAGGTAACTTGTGAGACATTAAGACTAACTCTGATGACTCAATTTAGTAAATAATTAAAATGGAGCGACACAACAGTGGGTAGGGCGTTTGCCTTGCACTCAGCCAACATGGCCAACCCAAGTTCGATTCCTCCGCCCCTCTTGGAGAGCCCGGCAAGCTACCGAGAGTACCTCACCCGCACAGCAAAGTCTGGCAAGCTACCCATGGCGTATTCGATACACCAAACACAGTAACAAGTCTCACAATGTTACTGGTCCCACTCAAGCAAATCAATGAACAACGGGAGGACAGTGACAGTGATTAAAATGAGATACTGCAATTAAGAGTTGAGTTGTGGGGTAATAACACAGCAGGTAAGGCATCACACGCTAACCAGGGTGCAGTCCCTGACATCTCATATAGTGTCCCAAGCAGCACCAGGAGTAATTCCTGAGTGCAGAGCCAGGAGTAACTGAACATTACCGGGTGTGATCAAAAAGAAAAGAAAAAAAAAAAGTTATGATTCAAGAAAAAATATCCTCAACTCAAGGTTACCTCAATTCAGGATGACTTTGATGACTTCATTATTCCCGTGTTTTAAAAAGATGACACTAGTGGATGCAGTAATTAGCAGACGATGTTTCAAATAGAAGAGTTAAGCGGAAATTTATAGTTCAGCTAGAAACATTTGGGTTCAGTATAAGGAAGAATCTTTCTATCATAAAAGCATTAAAATGTGATGTTCTGTTACAAAGGTTCTCCATTACTACACAAATAGCACTTCTCTTTGGTTCAGATTTACTTCTGGATCTGTAAGTTTAGAGTACTGTCCTAATTAAAAGCCAACTTTACTTCTGATTATCTGCAGTGCTAATGATAATGTGATAATGTGTATGTCTGAATCCCACCTCAGAGCCAATAAATCAAACTCTTTCATGGAGATGTCTAGGAACTTGTTTTTGCAGGTAACCCGAGTGATTTCCATAATCAGAGACATTTTAAAAGATACTGATCTAAGCTTTGCTTACGTTAATAAAGCTTCTAACAATTTGAAGAGAAGAAATTGGTTAGGTCTGTGATTTAAAAGCACATCATGAATGAGGTAGGAAAGCTCCAGTTTTAGGAGGCAAGGTTGTGCAGTCCCAGCTGGAGTTGGCATTCTTAGCACCACCAGCACTTCCCGAGCAGCTTGTCCAGACCCTGCTTTGACCTTACCGCCTTGCACACACTCTGTTGTAACAAGACAGCTAGAAAAATCCCTGGTAGATCTTAAGTTACTGATGGGACCCTAAAGAAGAATGGGGTGGGGGGACACTTAACAAGAACACAGCTGACAGTGTGCAATCTGTCCCTGGCTATGAGGTAAGTTTGCCCTCAGAGACACTGAAAATCAATCCACTTACCCAAATCTGACAGTCTTTTCATCAAGCCAGCTTCCCGCACAGCAGCTGGACCATATTCCACTCCTTTTCTTTTCTGTCACATAAGTACAAGGAGAGATAACTGAATAAAACCACTTCAGCTGACAAAGAATAGAGAAATCAGGGGCCAGATAATGTAGTGTGTAGGGTGTTTGCCTTGCACTCGATCAGCCTGGGTTCGATCCCTAGCATCCCACAGAGCCCCCAAATCCACCTGAAGTGATCCCTAAATACAGAGCCAGAAGTCCTGAGCACTGCTGGGTGTGACCCCCCCCCAAAACAAAACACACAGAAAAGAATAGAGAAATCTAAGTTCCCGGCAAGCGCCCTCTGAAAAACCTGCAGCATCCGACTTTCCCTTATTATCTCCCGCTGAGGATGCTCATCTCAAAGCACTTCCAGGAAGGAAGGGAAAAACACAACAGTCATGAGGATTAAATTAACCTTTCAAGCCCCTCAAGCATGGGAAGGGCAAGCGGAGGTCAAGGCAGAGGGGGAAAGGGGCTGAGCCAGGTCTGGATCTGGATCTGGTGGTGGTGACTCGTGTGTGTGTGTGTGTGTGTGTGTGTGTCTCCGTGTGTGCCCGTTTGTGTGTGTGTCCGTTTGTGTGTGTGTCCGTTTGTGTGTGTGTCCGTGTGTGCCCGTGTGTGTGTGTGTGTGTGTGCGCGCGCGCCTGTGTATGTGTCTGAGTTCTCGCGACTGCAGGATCCGCGCTTTGCAAAGAGAACAAAACGGACCCTCTCGGCCTCCCGCGGCGGGAGAAAGCCAGCATCAATGCCCTTCCCGGCTCAGAAGCGCCTGAAATTTTAGGTCGGGCTCTGCAGCCTCCCCATCCCCCCTCCATCTCCCCCGCCTCGATTTCCCCCTCAGTGGTTGCTGCCAGCTTCTCTTACTCCAGCACCCTAAGTGGGGGGGTCACATCACTTTCTCCAGTCTCCTGTGGGAGCCCCTAAACCCCGCCAGCCCGTTGCTCACACGCTTGGCCCTGGTCAGCCTGGGACCATCTCCTCCCTCTTTCCCCATCTCCCAGAGCTGGGGATGGAGGGGAGAATTAAAAAAAAAAAAACCCACGTGCTCTCCCGGCGGCCAATCTCTGAGCAACCCCATCTCCTTTTTCTGCACGTTGCGGGACGCGGAGATCGTGCCCCCCACCCAACCATTGCCGGGTCCCGGAGGTCCTCACCTGTCCCCTGGAGAACGGGGCTCCGATGACGGCCACCGAGTGGACGGACTTCCTCGGGACGGAGCGCGTGTGCGCCCGGAGGAGCCGCGAGAGGAGGCTGCTCCGGAGAGACATGCTGGGCGGCGCGGGATGCCGACGAGTTGGGGGAGCGCTCGGTGCGGCGCGCAGCCTGCACTGGGCGACGCCGCCCGCCGCCCCGCTCACCTAGGGAGGCCCCGCCCCGTGACGTCAGCGTCAGGCCCCGCCCCTCCGTGCAGGCCCCGCCCCCAGCCCTCGAGCCCCCGGAGTCCTGGTCCCGTCGGTCGCCGCTAGGGCCATTATCAGGCTCCGGCCAATGAGCGCGCCGTGGCCAGGAGGTGTGTCTCGGCGCTGGAAAGCGTCTGTCCTCCGCCGGGTTCGGCAACCCGACGGGATTCTCCCCACTGCGGCGCACCCCGGCGACCCCCGGCGAGGAAGAGCCGACCGGCGCCCGCGGGAGTGCCGCCCTGCAGAAACCGGGCCGGCATCCCCCTCGGCCTCGTCCCGTTCCGTCGTGGAGCTCGAGGTCCAGAAAACACCATGGCTCCTCCACTTTCGGGCATCGAAGGCTGAGAGATCCAGTGGGGATCCGTACTCCCTGCGCCAGGCTCGCTAATCGAAACCCACCCAACTTAGCCTGGTGGAGAGAGAATTGTTAGGATTTGCAAAATCCTTCTTAGATGACGACTTCGATTCTTCTTCCCTGGATAACAGGTGTACTAGTTATTAAAAAACAAACATCTGCACCCTTTGAAGAGTTAGAGGGGCGTAGGGGGGTGGGGCGAAGAGATCCAGCGGGGAGGGTATTTGCCTAGCGCCCGGCCAACCCAGCTCGATCTCCCGCATCCCATATGGTCCCCAGAGCACCGCTGGGTGCGGCCCCCAAACGAGAAGAAAACAAAAGTTTAGGGGAGACTGTTATTTAAGACTTATTTTCTATTATTTTTAATAATAACTAATATTTTTATAATAATTAAAGTTTTGAAATAGTCCTTACTCAACGAAGAAGGACTCTTAAAGATGAGGAAGGGAGTAAGTAACTTTCCCCAAGTCACGGTTTGTGAAATGGCATAGCTGTGTGATTCCAAGTTCTTAACTTTGACATTATGACATACCTGGATATGAGTAGTATTCCTTTCAGAATAAATGTTTATATCAACATCTGAAAATGATTTTAGCAGATGCCGGCTGACATGCTGTATAAGGCGGTATGTTGCATTAATCCTGCCTGAATGCCCAGCATTTAGTAAAACCCTACCTGCTGTACTATCACTCCATCTCCTAATGATGGTAATGTTTAACAACTGGCTGACAAAATTACTCAAAATGTAACACCAATCAGGAACTTGTAGGTGACTATAAGCAGGCTTTAGTGAACAGGAGATTAGGAGGAGAGTGAAAGCACTATTATCCTTTCAATTTCAAATTACTACTGCTAAGTGCCTGAAATAATGTATAATTTTCTCAAGTCCCGAATTCAAATAAGTAGTGTTTTTATTTTCAAAATAAGTAATTAGGGGCTGGAGAAATAGTGCATTGAGTAAGGCACTTGCCTGCACACAGCCAACTGGGATTTGATCCTCGACACCCCACATGGACCCTCAAGTCATGCCAGGGATAATGCATGAGTGCAGGGCAGAAATAAGCCCTGAGCACCACCAGTTGTGTCTGTAAAACAAAATAAAATAATTGAAAGATAAAGGTTGTAGCTCAGGCTCAGGGGTGGAGAGCTTATCTTGTATGGATGTGTAAGTTTGATGCACAGATGTAAATGAGTGGTTTTTATAAACAATTAGGCAATGGACATTTCTGAGTATTTTTCGTATAACTTGTGCGTTATAGTTTGACTTTCAATAATGGTCACTTAAAAGGGTTTTTTGTTTGATTTGGTTTGGTTTTAGGGACCACACCCAGCAGTGCTCAGGGCTTATTTTTAGCTCTTCTTTCAGGGATCACTCCTGGCAGCCTTTAGGAGACCACATATGGTTCCAGGGATCAAACCCAGGTTGGTTGCATGCGAGGCAAAACCCTACCTGCTGTACTATCACTCCATCTCCTAATGATGGTAATGTTTAACAACTGGCTGACAAAATTACTCAAAATGTAACACCAATCAGGAACTTGTAGGTGACTATAAGCAGGCTTTAGCTAACACTCATTGCTTTCTGCAGATGAAGAGAAACTCAGGAAAGACTCAACTATATGTTCTTGAGAGAAACACAAGTGAAACTCAGTGGCCTTTGGCAGAACCCAGTGGCCTTTGGCAGAAATGCGTTGGGACTTCGCATTAGGTTGCTGGCGCTGGGCCACCCCAGGTGGGAAAAGGTGCCATCCCTCCGACTTTTCCCTCTGGCTGCTCGGTGGCCACCATCTTCCAGAGGCCATTAGCCAGTCAGATATGGACCCGAAGTGATGAGACATGAGGGGCCTCATGGTATGGGGGGGTGCTGGCCCTTGACCTCCCCCACCCCACCAAGACCCCAAGTCACTGCCCACCAACAGGCCCTCCGGCTACTGATGAAACTGCTAAATGGCTATGATCCCAGAAACACACAAGCGAAACTCAGAACTCAGAGGCTTTTGGTAAAAATCCCTCCAGATTTAATTATTAAAATTTCAGAATTCCAAAATCGCATGGCCACTGCTAGTCATAATCAGCAATAGAAAACAAATTAAATTAATGTTGCCTTTTTGGCAGGTCGGAGTGTTGGGGGAAAATCCAAAATAATAATGGTGGGTCTGGTGTCAAAATATTGAATGTAACCAAAGTAGAGAGAGAGTAATGTAGAAGTCATCTGCCACACAGGTAGGGGGAGAGTGTGGAATGAGGGTATACTGGGGATTTGGGGAGTGGAAAATGTGCACTGGTGAAGGGACAGGTGTTTCATCATTGTATGACCAAGATTTAAACCTGAAAGCTTTGTAACTGTTCTCATGGTGATTCAATAAGTAAATTTATTTTTCAAAAAAAAAAAAAAGATTCAACTGTATAGTCTCAAAAGCAAGGATCATGATTCTATTATTTTATTCCCCTTCCTAAATATGTTGCTTGGCTGATAGCCCTTTCCAGACCCTTCGAACAACATTATCGAACCTTTCAGATACTGAAGTCCTTACTCATTGTAGGTTCACAGCTCTGCTAGCACATGGATGCCCCTAGGATATTTTTTTCTGAACTTCTACTTTTACATACACCTTTAAGCTAAGGTTGAGGCCTAGATTTCATTTAGAAATTGTATTCATTAATTCATTGCCGATATTTACTTCAAACCTAAAGTACTCTAAGTGCTTTTGATAGGTATGAAGATACCATTGCTTTGCGTACCTTTGAGGACAAAGAGAAAGTGAATACTTGAATTCTTTCAGATAGTAATAAATGCTATGATGAAAATAAGCAGAATAATGGGCAGGAGGTACTACTTTGGAGAAGTGTGGCAAGAAAGATCTCTCTGAACTGGTATTTGAGTCAGCCACCCTGCAGGATGAAAGGAGCAGCTGGCTGGAACAAGTTCTGGGGAGAGAGCTCTCTAGGCTTCCAGGAACAGCTCCAAGAGGAGCCCCAAGGTTGAAAGCAAGAATGTCTGGGTGGCCAGGAAGTGCAGAGCAGAGGGAGGTGGGTGGGTTCAGAGGCAGCAAGAAAATATGAGCTTCAAAGGAACGTTTTACACAAAGGCATGTAAAGGTTCTGAGTCTGTTTTAGGGAGTCAGGAAATTTAGTCCCTTCTTTCTCGCTCTTCGATCCTGGGCTTGAGAGACATAACAGAACCACTTAGGATATACTTTAGGTGAGGAAGGAAAGGATGAGTATAATAAATTACAAAATGCAGTTTATTTCCCATGCAGTCGGGATCACTGTGTTCAGTAGAAAGGCTAGAGCTAGGAGACTATGGGAGGCAGCAAAAGAGTAAATGAACTGCCACTGCCTACCCAACCAGCAATGCTCACTTCCTCCCATCCCCTAACCACAACGAGGTTTCTGTTATGAGCAATTCACAGTAGATGCCTGAAATGGCTGCCGTTAGCCCAGGTATGCAGGAGCAGTAACAGCAAATGCCATGCCTCATGGGATGGGAGAGGAGCCCCGACCCCCCCCCACCCCATGGAACCCTGAGATGACGCCCAGCTACTACTTAAGCTCCTTAACAGCCATGATCCAGAGACACATAAAAGAATCCAGAGAATCCAGAGACACACAAAAGAACCTAGCAGCTTACTGCAGAGATCTCTCTGGACCCTAATTATTAAAATTTTAGAATTTCAGAAGCACGCGACCACACTTGCAGCCTTGTGACATCATATGCAATTCATAATAAGCAATACAAAATAAGTTGTCTAGCATTACCTTTTCGGCAGGTTTGAGTGGTGGCGGGGAAATTTTCAAATAATAATGTTGGGACTGGTGTTGAAATATTGAATGTAAACAAAGTAGAGAGTATTGTGGAAATTGTCTGCTACACAGGCAGGGGGAGGGTTGGGATGGGAGGGATACTGAGGATTTTGGTGGTGGAAAAAAATGCAGTGGTGAAGGGATGGGTGTTTGATCATTGTATGACCAGAACTCAAACATGAAAGCTTTGTAACTGTATTTTACGGTGATTAAAAAAAAATGGCTGCCATTGAGACCCAAATAAAACTTTGGTGTGAAGTCTTTCTCAGTGCTCATGGAGGCTGCAAAAGGACACCAGAACACTTTGTTGTTTTTTCAGGTCCCAAATTGAAAACAAACACTGACCTTCCTATTTGGGTCCTTTCTTCCCTTCTCTTCCTTTTCTCATTTAATTTCTTCTCATCCTTAGACTTCAGTTTTGAATTCTCTGACACTGATAACCCTTTCCACACCCTTAAAAGTTGAGTTAGAGGAGCTGGAGCAATAGCAAAGTGGGTAGGGCGTTTGCCTTGCACGTGGCCGACCTGGGTTCGAATTCCCAGCATCCTATATAATTCCCTGAGCACTGCCAGGAGTAATTCCTGAGTGCAGAGCCAGGAGTAACCCCTGTGCAATGCCGGGTGTGACCCAAAAAGAAAAATTAAAAAATTTTTTTTAAAAAGTTGAGTTAGATATTAACAGTACTTGCTAAAATTATCGAATAATTACTAAATGCTGGATACCTGCTAAACTCTTAAGTGATATCTCTCATCATAAAGCAATGACGTAGACATTATTATCTCCAC